AAGGTCTATTCCTGCCTTTAATGGGGTTGAATTAACCTGATCGAAGCCATGTTTCTAGTAACTATTTACCAACTCACACTGCATGAAATGGTTTCCACAGCCTTTGGGGGTTTTTCCTTATTTTCAGTTCTAGTTTTGCTGAGGCTTTCTAAAGCCAATCCCTGAAGCTGGCTTGTGGGAGGGAGCTCCAGAGACCCTATCTTTTGGAGCAACAGTGGTGTCCTTCCTTTCCCCACAACTTGCTCCACAATTCCACTGAGTTCTGACCTCATAAACACCTGGGCGCAAGCCCTTGACACCCCACCTCTTCACATAAAACCTGCCAGTTTGGGATGCAATTGTCATTTCTGGCAAATTGTCCAGGGGTAAGACTAGATTGTCTGCAAATACAGCTAATAACAATTCTTCCCATCCCTTATGGGCATCAAGAAGTCTATTCTCCCTCCCCCTAGAATCTGGGCTGACCGTGTGGAATGTGACCTTCTGGGACTTCTGCACCCAGGCTATAAGAGGCCTGGTAGCTTCAGTTATCCTGGAGCTCTGAGCTACCCCTTGTAAGTCAGGCTACCCTGCTAGAGACAAAGGTCCTACCAGCTCTCAGCTATTGCAGCCACAGCAGCCGAAGGGCCAGGCATATGAGTCTTTCTTGATTTATTCAGCCTCAGTCCAGCCTCCAGCCTATAGAATCATGAGCGAATACATGGTTCTTGTTTTAAGCCACTATGTTTTGGGGTGGTTTTGTTATGCAGCAATAGATAATTGATACACCATCTGTAGCAGGTTGATTACTCTGGCAGCTTGCATATGATTAACTTGAAACTTACTGGCGAAATGTGAGCAAATTTGCATAAGGAACTCAGGCGCCTTCTGGGAGAACGCAGAATTCTCTCCACCAAGATTCCATATTGTGAACATTAGTCAGGATAAATCCAAAGCCCAGGCTATCGTCTAGGGACATGAAAGTACAATAAGTCTCCTGAAATAAAACCAGTGGAGTGGCAGTGATCAGTGCTTAGGACCCACATTAATGACCACCGTGATTCCTGTACTAAGGCAGTGGCCACAGGCAGAGGGACTCTCTAATTCCCTACCTAGCTCGGTTCTGTTAAGAAAAGCCAGGTGGACATATTGGAGTTTCCTTGACATATGAAGAAGGGGAGGTGAAGAGAGAAGCAGGGTTAATAAAGAGACTCAGTATACTGGGACCTCAAACACTGCCCTTTGAGACAGTACTAGGGTGTTATATTTCGACTGCTAAACTGTAAAGTCAGACATCCCAGCTGCATTACTGTTATAATTTTCAGTTTAATTTTCTTTTAAAAAGTAGGTACTCAATCTTGAGCAGGAAAACATTTTTGAAAAATTAAACAGTAACAGGAATTGTAAAGAAATATCCTGTTCATAAGCAGTGTCACTCTGCCTTTCCAAATGCATACTGTGTGTAGCAGAACACAAAGAAATAATTTTTAGCCAGTGAGGAAAATTGTTCATAATATCCCCACACCTAGTGTATGAAAAGAAGGCTTTGCCCTCATTGAATATTTGAATGGTTAACATCTTGATTCTCTTTAAAAACAAAGCACCTGAAAGAAAACTGATTTTGGATTTTTCCGATGTGTGTGTGTGTGTGTGTGTGTGTGTGTGTGTGTGTGTGTTTTCCGAAAATCAGCAAATGAGAACACAACTCCACCTCACTGAACTTGAACTCCAAACGTGTGCTTAAGGGAGACAGGGCGGACAGCCTAGGGACTTGAAGGTTCCATTAGCAGTCATCCACACCCATTACCTTGTCTCACTGGATTTCCTTTTATGCCACTGTTCCAACACTCTTTGCAAAATGAACTGACAGACAGATTCTGAAATTTGCATGCAGATCCTTCTTGATAGTAAAAATGCTTCAAGATGTGGCTGGGAGAACTGGGTAGCTGACTTCTGAGGCTTTGAAAGGCACTTCCGGGTCTCAGCCTCATTTCTCACAGTGGAGTGGTAGCTACAGTGGGCCCTCCCGACAGCAGTGACCCCTCACCTCCTTTGCACTGCAGGAGTCTTAAAAGGGACGATGTGACCTGGGAAGGTGACTTTCTCCAGAGCACTTGAAGGTCAAGTTTCAGAGAGGTGGGGATGGGCAGTGAGGGGCTGTAGAAGGCAGAATGTGTGGACACAGTGGGTTTACAAATCCTCTTCAGTGACTCCTGTCATGGCTGGAGCTAATCCAATGACTAAGGGGGACACAGGGTAAAGGAGAGGACATTTACCCATGGTCATTCTGCCATCTCACGGCTGCAAGGTGGAAGGAAGTCAGCCTGCAGTCACCCCACTTCCCTATCTACAAATATGTCAGGCCTTTTCCTTTAGCTTTTCTTCTGGAGCTGTCTTTCCAGCAGAGTTTCTTAACCTGAGGTTAAATTTTTCAGGGGTTCTCTGAATTCGAAGGAGAAAAAAAAAAAAACTTTATTTTTATTCCCCTAATGTTGAAATTTAGCATTCCTTTCAAATGCAGTCTTTTTCACTGGCAATCACAGATATTTTCATATTACAGTTAAACATATCAAGAAATATTTTATATTACGGTCCCACCACAAGAGCTTGTTATTTAAGGTCTTAATAATAAAGCATATATAAAATTTTATCACATACCTCACACCCATTGTGTGAGGCTACTATCAAAAAAATAAAAAATAATGGATATTGCTGAAGATCTGAAGAAAGTAGAAAACTTGTGCACTCCTTGCGGGAATGTAAAATGGTGCAGTTGTATGGACAGCAGTATAGTGGTTTCTCAAAAACAAAAAAATAGAATTGCCATAGGATCCAGCAAGTCTAATTCTGGCTCTATACCTGAGTGAATTGAAGGCAGGGTCTCACAGAGATATTTGTACACCCATGTTTATAGCAGCATTATTCACAATAGCCCAGAGCTGGAAGCAACCCAAGTATATACTGATTGATGAATGAAAAATATGTAGTATGCACATTCAATGGAATATTATTCAGCCTTAAAAAGGAAGGAATTCTGACACATGGATGAACCCTGAAGCCATTAAGCTAAGTGAAATCAGCCAGTCACAAACTGACTGTTTGATTCCACTTATGTGAGGTAGTTAAGAGTATTCAAAATCATAGAGAAGAAAAGTAGAATGGTGGTTTCCAGGGGGATGGGAGTAGAGGGGAATGTGGAGTTAGCATTTAATGGGTAGAGTTTCAGTTTGCAAGATGAAGAGCTCTGTAGATGGATGGCAGTGGTAGTAGCACAGCAATGTGAATGCATTTAATACCACTGGAACGGTACACTTAAAAATGGTTAAGATAACTTTTTAAAAAGCTGTCCTAAGAAAAGAACTCCCAAAACAACTGTATCACAAATTCAATTTAAAGAAATATTGTTAATTATATTTTGATATGGCTTGATTCCTTTATAATCTCAAGTGTTTTATTTTATGCATTTAAAATTCTGGGGAGGAGTCCCTGGACTTCTTCAGGCAGCCAGAAGGGTCTGCAGCACACAGGCTTGAGATCCTCTGATCCAAGGCTCTGCTCCTCAAACTGCCTGGAGACACAGAATTGGTGCCTGAATAAACAAGAACGGTCCCTGGAAAATCTGTTTTACTCAAGTGTTACACCTTTTGAACATATTTAAGAAGACCTGGATGTATCATGGAGTAGAAAGCAAACTTTACATGAACTTTCAGGAAAAAACAAGAAATGTTAAATGCATTTTGTGCGTGTGGCTGGTTGTTGGGATATATCTCCAAAATCTCAGGGGTTTACAGTCTTCTCTGTGTTAAGGATAAGTATGGCCCTTGAAAATCTGAGATGTCAGTTTCCTCTTTAGCCTCATGGTCCTTCAAATTAGGGAGGCTGCGTGGGGTGACTGAAAGGAAAAGTTTTCGCAAAAGAAAAACCTGCGTTCAAATCTGAGCTCTACCAGTTATAGCTGTGTGGCTGTGGGCCAGTTCCCTACCTGCCCAGGGCCTCTGTCTTCCCATCTGTAAAACAGAGGTAGATGGCATATCTACCTCAGAAAGTATACAAAACTTCTAGTCCCTAGAAGGGGCCCAAGACAATTTACTTCAAAACAGGAAAGCCAAGCTCTTTCTTATCTGTGGATACGCTGTATCCAGGGCTGTCATGGCCTGGGTACCAATTTTTGTTTCAGCTCCTCCACCTTACTCCCGTGAGATGGGATCTCCCTTTCCGTCTCTCCGAGTCTGCATTTGGGGATCCTCAGTATTTTGGCTGTCTCCTTTTGGGGGCTTCCAATTTGACGATGAATCTGAACGGGCTGGTAACAGCTGCAGCCAGGCTGGTGGAAAACTCGCCGGAGCTAAAGCTGGGGCCCCCCTTTCACTGCCCTAGGAAGACCTCGACAATCCTCGCAGCTTTTATCCACACACAAGATCGGCGTTGAGCACCACAACCCCAATCACCGCTAGAGAAGCTGGGTCCAGGGGAGTGGGGGCAGCGCAGAACATTCAGAGGGCCCGCACCTGCTGAACACACACGCGGCAGCCTCACCTGAAGCCCGAAGGCGAGCCCGCACAACGCACGCACGCGCACGCACGGAGGCTGGCTGGAAGCTTGGAGGCGAGCACGCACGCGTACGCACGGAGGCTCGCTGGAAGCTCGGAGGCGAGCCCGCACGATGATCGCACATGAGCACGAACGCGTACGCACGAGGTACGCAGGTGGGCATGCCTGTGTTAGGTGTACTTGTACCCTTGCTGCTCCCCTGGTGGTTTGCCCAATAGTGTCTGCAGTTGGCAGCCAGAAGGATGATCACGGGTCCGCGAGAAGCAGGAGGGCTCGGACCTGAGACTGGACCTCAGGAGGAAGGCCAGGATCCAGAAGTGCAAGGTGAGTGCAAGGGAAAACAGCCTGAGCAGGTCTCGAGCCAGCTTCCTGCTGCCTGGGGCAATGATGGCGTCAGGCCTGTGGAAATGAGAGCCAGGTTTGAATACTTAAGGACAGTAAAGCCAATTAAACAACCAGGTGCCCCTCTCTCCTTTTCTGGTTAGGCCTCCCAGGCCTCGCATCATCTGGTCCTAGGTTGCCTCTTCATTCTCTTTCTCACTACTTTCATCCTCACACTCGCAGCTCTGGTCATGTCCCCTGCATTGGGGCAGACACCTCCTGGACTGTACCCCGGAATGAATGTCTCAAGCCTAGGCCTGCCCTCTGGAAAGAACAGCCAGCTCTCCCACAGTGGCCTTACTGACCCTGGGCCGTCTGTTGGGAGACCACCTAGCCTCCTGCAGGTGCGGAGCGGGTGCACAACTGGCCAGGCCAGGCAGTGGGAGACTCAGGCTCTGAAGGCCTCCTTTTCCTTTGAGGCCAAAGATGGGCTGTGGTCAGCACATGTTGGATATGCCTCATAGAGGCTTAGTGAACTGGCGATAATAATAGTACTACAAAATGAAAAAGTAGTAATACCTTATATTGTTGCTTTCAAGTTTGAAAAGCCTTTTCATTAATATTATCGAAGTGTAATTCTCGCAACCTTGTAAGGTTAATGGTATCCATCCATCTTATTATTCCCATTTTACAGATGAGGAAACTGAGTCACAGAAAAGTTATGCAACTTTCTCAGGTCACTGAACCTCTTTTTTTTTAAACCATTCTGATTTGTAAGTGCCTCTATGTTAAATTGGGGTAGAGGGTAAAAGAACAACCACTGCAAAATGGTACATGGGCAGTGTCTGGTCCAAAAGTGAGGGTCTGCAGGTTCTTTTGAAAGCATCTCAGACAAGAGAAGGTCACTCCTGAGCCCTGAGGGCTGCCACCAACCTGGTTTATAAATTGATTGTATGCTAAATGAGAACTGAGATATTGAGGCTGGGATGGAGGCCAAGGACCACATGAGAGACAAAGCTGGGCATTGATCACCGCAAGTCCTCAGCAACACGGGTTATTACCATGGCTCCTTCATCAAACCGTAGTGATACCTCCACAGGTCCTTAATACTGTGATGACTAGTGTCCCCATCTCCTGTGTCTCCAGGCAGAGAGGAGGCTTCAATTCAACCATTTTGAACAAAGTGATACTACCAGCCGAGGGGCAACTAGCATTTTGCACACTGGGCAAAGGATGCCCAATACCCTGCCATTCCTGAGACTGTCCTACAGAATGAAGAATTGTCCTGTGCCCTACACAACTGTCAAATGACTAGTTGGACAATTCTGGAGGTGAAAAACCTGACTTTATCATCTTATACCAGGACTCAATACAGGTTTGCATGGTTTTAGAAAACATTGAATGCATGCAACCAGTATGTACATTAAGATTGTACTTAACAGTGTTCACAATATAGGAAAGCATTGTATCTGACAGCAATGCTGCATGTAGTTTTGGAAGCCCAGTTTGACCCACCTCATCACTCTGCATTGCTGATGTTACTGGCACCAGGAGTCTGTTCAGCGGTGTGGTGCTGTGCTTCATCAGGGCTTCCAAAGTAGTCATGCCCATACATTTACGTATGGCAATACACATTAATTTATCATAAATTACCCTTTTTACAGTTAAGATGTTTGACCTTTTAAAATTATGAGTATAAATATATTACCTTTACTTTTATTTCAGGATAATAAGGGAGTATTATGATATATTTGTAACAGAATAGAGGCATTGAGTTTGAGAATCACTGCTCTGAGCAAATGGCAGTTTCCTTTTTTTCCTAGAAAACACAGGATTTCAGGGTTAGAGGAGATCTTGAGTGTCACTCAGTCCTTTCCCCACTCCATCTAGTACTCAGATCCCTGCAGTTGGAGGACCAAGGACCTTCACACACCTCTTACTCCTGTGATGTGACTCTTTGGAGTTCCCAGGATGGAATCAAGTGGGAAATCAGCCCGAATGACCAAGGGCCCAGGTGCAGTGAGCTTCACCAGATGTTGGCATGTGGTATTATAGATATTGGGATCCAAGAGCCATTCAAGATCTCATCCACTTAAAGAGGTTGGCATCAGCTCAGTGGAAAACCTAGACCTGCATTGCAAGAGAAAATACCCTTAGAGGCTCAGTCAATATCAGGGACCCCAGAAATGCCAAGCTGGTGGACAAACACACTGTATCTCAGAACATACCCTGGTGCTGGAGTTCTGAATGACTCCATGGCATCTGGTCCTCAAGAAGCACTGGGCTAGGTGGAATGAAGTAAATTGATGGGCTGGGATCATTAGGAAACTAGAGGCAACTAAGTGAAGGTGTCTCCTCTTGGCACTTTGTTCCAGGATCAAGCTTCAATGACTTCATATTCTTGGATGAAGGGGCTGTGTCATGTCAGAAGGGCTGGCTTAGTGAGCTTCAGCCAGGGTGAACCCCAGTGACTTTGCTGACTCAGTGGCCCAAAGCTGCCTTGACTGGAGGTGGACCTGAGAGGCAGAATGCTGGATTAAACCACCTGCAACCATGCTCAAATCTTTCCCCCATCTTTCTTCTCCACTGCTCTCACTACCCCATGAATTTGCCACTCAGTTGTTCCTTCCCATGCCCTATGCCCCTTCCACTGGAGGCTGGATGGCTATACTCCACCTACTTCCCTCCAGTCCCCCTGGACTGACACAGAGCCCTCTGTCTTCCTGTGGAATGCAGTAGCAGTTCTGAGCATGGTGCTGGACAAGAAGTCCAGCTCCCCTCATAAACTTTTTATAGCTTAGGAAAATAAACATGTGGTTTAAGGTCTTTGCATAGGCAGTGCTCACTGAGTTTGAGCTTGCTTTACAGAACTACGAAAGAAAATATTGGTAGAGCTAAGAAATTTCTGAGCCAGCCAAGGGACAGTAGTCCAGAAATCTTGGGGAGGGTTTGATGGTTCAGGCAATAAAAAGAGAAGTCATCTGTGTAGCTGTTATCTCGCTCCGTCCCACTAAGAATCTGCCTGCCTGAGTGATGCAGCCAGGCTCCCTTGTTCCCTGGGGCAAGGAACCAGTAGAGGGATAGGGAATCACAGTGTTTCCCAGCTGCAAGGGCCCTTGGAGATGGTTTTACAGATAAGGAAGCAGGGTCCAGAGAAAGGAAGTGATCTGCTGGGAACCACTGTACTTTTCACACAAGCAACTTTCCAGGCATCTGCTATGTGCTATCCACAGGATAGCAAGGGGGTAAGGAGACCACTTAATGCATGTGTGCAAGCAGCAGGGCAGCAGCAGGGGTTCAGGGGCCATTTCTGAAGTTTACTTCCTGGGTTTGTGGAAGAGAAGAGACCCTTGAAGAAGGAAGAATGACTATGAGGTTTTCAGTTGGAGGAGTGGGTAGAAGGATAAAAATAATATCAGTATTGCTCTTGTTATCATTTATTAAACATTTACTCTGTAGGACCTGTTGTCACCCCACTGAATCCTCAGAACTCTGAGAAGCTCATATTAAAGTCCTCAATTTGCAGTTAAGAAAAACTGCAGATCAAGGGGGTTGAGTCATTTGCCAACAATCACCCAGCTGGTAAATGCAAAGCCATAGTTAAACCCATGCTGCCTGACCCCTGAAGCCTGGACACCTGCTCAAACAGCTTGCTGGAACGGATGATGGGAAAGCAGACAAGAAGAGTGGGTTAGGTGGGGCTAAATTCGAGGATCCCATGGAACAGTCAGGCAGAAATACAGGTCCAGGTTGGAGATGGGCATCAGAGCGGGATACGTGGATTGGGGTCACCCGCTAAAGGGATATTGAAGCCAGGTCTGTTTCCTGCCAAAGTCTCTCTCTGGGACACTGAAACTCTATGTGTAGAGAGGGGTGCAGGAGGACCAGGTGGAAACCTGGGGAAGTTAGTGGTTACAGGCAGGCAGAAGGCACCTGGGGCTCTGTTTACAATGGGCAGGTATATGCAATCCCACTTCCAAAGTCTGAAGAAGCTGAGAGGCTGAAGAAAGAGGCTGACAAATCCAGTTTCTTAGAAACATTTAATAGAAACTTCAGAAAAGAAGCCGTGTTTATGTCTCAGGTGGCAGTGACAGAAGATGGTGGATCCACGTACCATTACCCCCAAGACCCAGGGCTTATATACCACAGGGAGGAGTGGTTCAGAAGGGAAGTGTAGGACAGTTGAAGTATGATAACATCAAAGTTGACCCAGGATTTACAGCAAGTACTTGCTCTTACACAAGGAACAATGGATATGCTGGAAATCTTAGAGGCCTTCCCAGAACTGGTGATAATCAGAAGTCAACATGGTGAGTAGCATCCAAGATGGAGTCGCTTTGGCCTCCACAGGCTCTAAAGGTGGCTCTGGCTTTGCTTGATGCAGAGGTGAAGCCACATCACAGCAGAATGTTTCTGGCCTAGAGGCTGATACTATAGCTCCCCAGTGAGAAAAAACAGTCCCCATGGCTGACAAGGACATGGAGGACAGGTACATGTTCCTCTCCTACTATGCCTTCCAGGCATACTCATTCTCTCCAGGCCAGGACAGCAGCATCTGAATCAACCCTACAGGTAGGATTCCCTTCAAACCCAGCATTTTCCTCTTCTAGGAACTTATTCTGAAGACATAATGAGGGATGTGTATGAGGATATGTATCACAGCATTACTTCTGTTTGTGGAAAATCACAGCTCATATAAATAGCCCACAGGAAAGGATAGATTACATCATTAAATACATGCTGACAGTAAAATCAAATTATAGAATAATATTTATGGCCAACATTTTTGACATATTATTACATTTTAACTGGCAGGCTACAAACAGTATGACAATTTTTTTTTTTTGTAATGAAAAGAATGGTTATGTGTACATATTTCATAGGAAAACACTAAGTATGCATGCCAGGAGGTTAATAGGATTCTTCTCGGGTTGAGGAATTGTGTGAGTGGGTTTTCCCTTTTTTCTTTTTTCAGATATTGCAAGGTTGGTTTGTTTTTACATTGAGTATATTATTAGGTTTGTAATTTGAAAAAAGAATTCTTTATGTAAGGATTACTCATGAATAATATTAGCAAATGCTTGCCTGATGCTTATTTTATGCCAACCTCTGTTCTGAGTGCTTTTCATGGATTAAGTGATTTAACCCTCATGAGAATTTAGACGCGGGAACCATGGCTCAGGAGGGCTGGGCCGGTTGCCCAGGTCAGCAGAGTTGGTATGTGGCAGAGCTAGAATCTGAAGCCAAGCCATCTGCCAACAGGGTCCATGCAATTAACCACTGCACCACACTATTACTCCCCAGTGGAAAAAGACGATCCCCATGACCGACAAGGACATGTGAGGAAATGCACATGTTCCTCTCCTGCTATTGGTAGCAGGGGTTCCCTTGATACACCTTGATCCCAAGTGCTCCATGCTGGTAGTGCTCAGGTGCTATATTCAGTGAATGAATGCAAGTGACAGGTCCCACTTGTCCTCCAGGATCTGAAAAGATAGTCCAGCTTTTGCTAGATTTTGAGCATGACCATGATGGGACTCGAGGAACCTTCCCTCCCTACCTTGACAGTGGGTGACTTGACTTCCTCACCTGCTCTGGAGGATGGTTTTCTGCTGAGAAACCTGTCCTGTCTTCCACCTTCCTGGGAGAGTAGAGGATGGCTCAGGGTATCATGGCTCTATCCCCCATCGGGGGGGGGGGGATTCACCAGCTGTGGTAGATCATTGCTTTGTGGCATTCAATGAACTGTATCTCTTAGAAGTCACACTTGTGTGTGGTCTCTCCTGCATTGACTCTGGAGTTAGCCATGTGGCTTTCTTTGGCCAATGGGATATTAACAAGTATGATCCAAGCAGAGACTTTATAAGTGCCTGTGCAATGGGCTTGTCTTCTTAGAACAGTTGCTCTTGGAACCCAGCCACCCTGCTGCTGAAAGGAAGTCCAGACTAGACCAGTGGATAATGCAGGGACATGGGAGAGAAGCTCTGGAGGATAAGAGGCCATCTTGGACATTCCAGCTTCAAAGAAGCTTCCAGACGAATGCAGCTGCGAAATGAGCCCTGCCAAACCACTCAGCTGAATCCAGTCAACACACAGATTCATGAGAAATCATAACTCATTGTTATAAGCCATTAAATTGGTAGCTTGTTCTGCAGCCACAGGTAACTGAAATACTGGTCTTCTTTCCCTGGACACTCCTGAAAACAGATCCACATACATTTATTAAGTACCCACTGTGTGCCCAGCCCTGTTTTAGGCACTATGGGATAATCATGAAAGGATTCTGACTAAGAAATGAGAATCTGAGGAGACAAGATTGCTACAGGCAGTAAGTCTAAGGAAGAATTATGGTTACACTGCTGCATAGTAAGGAAAGGCGACTGATTTCCCCAACCCAGCCCCCAACATTTCACCTCACAGCAAAGCTGTTGTGGCTGATAAATTTGGCAAACAGGGTGGCATTGTTGGATACATTGATCTTTTACTTTATTATAATGATGGTTTTGGGCACCTCGGGCCCCCTGCTTTGATAAATGCTGTTCCTGTGGCAGGACAGTATTCCCCATGTGCTTAAAAGGGAACCATTTGTGTGACCTTCAGATCGAAGAAGGTAGATGAGATGGAGAATTGAGTGGCCTACTCAGCCGATGGACTGTGACACACCATCATTGCTCTTTAGTGGGTGGGAGGTGGTCTTGCTAGTGCATCTGCTTGGCCCTGGCGAGGACTGACCTGCTCACACCTTCATGAATATTCAGCTGCTCCACGAAGGCCCACTGCCTAGAATATTGGAGCTGGAGCAATCCAGAGGTCGTCTGGTCTGATGTTCTCACTGTTGAAAGGAGGAAACCGAGGCCCAGAGGTGAGAAGGACTCGCTGGAGGGCACACAAGGTTTATAGCTCCTCTGTCACTGGTCTTGGTATTAGCCAGAGCTCAGCTGTGGTTCGCAGATCCTCTGAGCCCCCAGCTCCTGTGCTCTTTCTCTTCCTGCCCTCCACCCTCCTGCTCAGGGCTTGCTTCCGTGGCCAAGCGACCAGGGAACTGAGAAAGTCCACCCAGTTGCAACAAGGTTATATACATTAACCTCTGCTTCAGATAGTATACATGAAACTGCAAAAGTGGGCAGAAGCAGTTCCACTTAAAGCATTTAAAGCTTTGTCCTGAGGGGAGTCCTTGGGAAAGCAGGCAAACAGCCTATCATTTCACTTTCTTTCTTAGTTTGATTTTTAATGTGGGTTTTGCTTCTAAGGGGCCATACCTCATACTGCACACTTGAAGGAATGAAACCCTACGCATTCCTGAGCAGCCCCGTTTCCCATCTGGGCCAGTGCAGGTGGATGGCAGGAGCCTCGGTCTCAGGAGCCCTGCTGCTGACACTGGCCCTGAGAAGCCTGTTCATAGGGCCTTGTGGAACTGGCCACTTCTTTTCTTTGTTTCTTGATTTTTTTCACTGAGACCAGATGAGGACAGCCAAGACTATGGGTAAATTCCACGAATCACAGATACATCTGGAATCTGCTGGGGAGCCTGGGAGGCTGTTCAAGCCAAGGCATCATCATTTCTCAAATTGGGAAAACACAGGCATGGAGGGGCAAAGGGGTTTTCCCAAGGCCTGGAGCTGGTGGGCTCGATGCCAGGAGAAGACTTGGGGGCGATGCTGTAGGCTGGAGGACAGGATGAGTCAGGCCCCCAAGGTGTTTTCCCCACATGGTTTCAGTTCTTAGGTCAGGGTCTTGGCGCCTGAAGGAAAGCCTGGTCTAGGCCATGTGGAAATCCCGAGCTGCTGCAGCATCTCACTCCAATCGGGCATGTCTGGGAGGCAGCAGGTTGCCAATAAGTGATTTACAGCATGTTCCCTGATGTTTTACGTTTTCATCATTTCATGTTGCAGTCCTGTCTCCAGTAATGGGATCTGCGGAGGAGTGCAGCTCCCCAGCCTGCTATTTGCAGGAGCCCGAGTGGGGAAGCCTGTGTAGTCTCAGGTCCTCAGCCTTGATTTTTATGGTGTGGCTGTGGTGTCTCAGGACTCTGCGACCCAGGACCACCATTGTGACCACCTTCCTAGTCTTCACTGCTTCCTTTACACCTCAAGTCTGAGGACCTGCTCCGAGCCACACATGGTTCTGGGCTCTAGGAGTGGCAGAGGACTTGGGTGCCATGAGAGTACCAGGTAGTAGCTCCAGCTCAGCCTCCCCTAACCCTGACTCAAACAAAACCATCAGATGCATCCCCTACCACTATCCATCTGTCTGAGAATTCTCAGAACCTTTCCACTGGTGGGAATGCAAAGTGATGCAGCCCTGTGGAAAGAACTTTGGCCATTCCTCAAAAGTATATTATATAGAATTACTATATGACCCAGCAACTCCCCTCCTAGGCATATGCCCAAAAGAATTGAAAGCAAGGACTCAAACAAATACTTGGGCATACAAGCTTATAGGAGCATTATTCACACTAGCCAGAGGTGGAAACAGTTGTCCATCAGCAGATGAATGGCTACACAAGTGTAGTATATACATCCAATGAAATACTATTCAGCCATAAAAAGGAATGGAATTCTGATACATTCTACAACATGGATGGACTTCAGAAACATGCTAAGTTTCTAAGCCAAGCTAACATGCTAAGAAGGCAGACACTGAAGGTCACATATTTATGATTCTGCTTATATGAAACATCTGGAAGGAGACAGAAAGCAGATCAGTGACTGCCAAGGCCTGGGAGGAGGAGAACTGGGGACTGATTGCTTCATGGGTATGAGTTTTTCCTTGGAAGTGATGAAAATGTTCTGCAACTAAATAGAGGTAGTAGATGCACAACACTGTGAATGTACTAACAGCTACTGAATTGTGTACTTTAAAATGGTTAATTTTATGTTATGTGAATTTCACCTCTAAGAATTTTTTTTGTTTTTTGAGACCAAATCTCACTCTGTCACCCAGGCTGTAGGACAGTGGGGCAACCTTGGCTAACTGCAACCTCCGCCTCCCAGGTTCAAGCAATTCTCCTGCCTCAGCCTCCCAAGTAGCTGGGACTACAGGTGCCCAACACCACACCTGGCTAATTTTTGTATTTTTAGTAGAGATGGGGTTTTGCCATATTGTCCAGGCTGGTCTTGAACTCCTGACCTCAAGTGATCTGCTCACCTCAGCCTCCCAAAATGCTAGGATTACAGGTATGAGCCACCGTGCCTGGCCTAAGAAAAATTTTTAATTAAAACTTGGCACTGCCTGCAAATCTCACAGCACCCTAGTGTCACGTATATCAGCCGCAACTCCACCTATTAACTCAGAGCTCCAGATTCCTACATGAGGTGGTTGATGAGATTATTGAGGCAGGAATTTGAAGATTGGCCTGCAGTTGGGCTGCGGGTCAGGGGGTTGGCATGGGGGTCTCTCTTAGCCAGTGAGTGCACTAGAGGCCCCCCAGCACAGGCATCACCACAGATCTTCAATTTTGTCCTCTCTCCCGGCCCCCGTGCTCACCGTAACATTCATAATATGCTTTGCTGTACCTGGTGGGAGGAGTTAACAATATATAATAGTGGTAGCTGAGAACTGTGGGGGCTAACATGGCTTCAAAACACTTTCTTTGTCACTGATTGGGAAGTAATGAGAAGTCTAGATCTTTAGCTTGGGCTTCCAAACTTCATGGATGGGCTCAGTTAACTCCCAGCATCATTCTGCCCCTCCGGGAGGACACCTCACTCCTCTGACACTCTCTTGAAGACTCTGGGACTATTACTTCCTCCACACCAGAGCACCACTCTTCTGTGAAGACTCTCTGACCCAGCCTCCAGTTTTCCTTTGCTTGCCGAAACTCCTGAGGTCACTGCCTGGGCCTCTTCCCTGGTGTTTAATCTACCTGTGTGTGGATGTAGGTCAGTCATATGAAAGTTTGTCATTTTGGTAGTTAATATCAGCCCTAGTTTATATTTGCTTTATGAAGAAGTGAAATACATTCATGCATTTATTTTATCTTTTGTACTTGGGTGGGATTCTATAATTAATAGTTGCTGTTTAAATGTAGACTGGCTGCACGTGGCTCCCTCAGATCTGATACCAGCATTTCCTCTTGGGCTTGTCACAGGTGATCTGACCTGGGCCTGTCCCCGGACTGACGGTGGCCCTGTTAGCGGGAAAGCAAGTGGAGAAGGAGGCTCTGTGGGATTGGGATGTGGACACTGGGAGATGCCAGGGGCACCCCAGCCTTACCCTGAGAAGGGTAAGCCCTTCTCAGCAGTGCTCCTGGCCTTCCTTGGCCAGGCCAGCCCTCAAAAGATAGCAGCCAGTCCCTGAAAGAACCCCCTACCCCTCAAATGCTGCTTTCCAGGAGGGCTGAGAGCAGAGGGCCCTGTCTTGGCTCCTCCTGCGCTGCTGTAGAAGGTCCCATATTTCCTTCTTTAGATTCTTATTTATGCTTCCTGTGACTTTAGGCTTTAGCTTTGGAGCAATGAGGCCTCAGTGTGAAAACTAACAGGGGAAAAAGATGGGGCCTGGCAGAAGATGGCACATCCAGAGCCTCAGAATGAGCCAACCCCCGGGGGATCTTCTGTAGTGCAGCGCACTTCTGTAGTGCAGTTTTGAAATTGCCTTTCTGATTCGAAGGAAAACCCTTTGGCCTCCATTTGAGAGCAGTGCTGGTGATTCTCTGCCCTTCTTTGGCTCTGATATGGGGTGGGGGAGGGGCGGGGGCTGGGAGGGTGGTGTGGATGTGAAGCAGTGGGGAGAACAGGCAGGCAGAATAAACAGAGAGTGTGAGCCCAGGCCTGGGGCTGTCGCAGGAGGAAGGGTTATGCCCTGGGGAGAGGATCATGGGGGTGCTCCGTGACAAGGAGAGAGGTTGGCTCAGGAGGAAGGAGACTGAGAACAAAGAAAGCGAACATCCACACAGAGAGAGAAAGGGAACACGTGGGGGCAGGGCGAGAACACAGAGACCAGCCTCCCCCTTTCCCACCCTCCTCTCCGCCCCCAGACACTGACGTTCTCAGGCTGCCCTTTCACATATGGGCCTAATTCAGGTAGAGTGAAATCTTGCATTGCTCCGGGTAAAAATTATTGCTTTGGATAATGAAATCTTTGTCATTGGAAACTTTAAAAGAAAAAAAATGCCCTTCAAGCCGTGACTTATGGGCAGTGTGGTGATGGAAACGAATTCATCATCCCATTTCCCGCACTGGAATGGGAGGACAAGGTTGATTCATAGCTGGGCCGCGTGCGGCTGGTCCCGCGGGCAGGGTGGCGGCCGGGCCTGCTGAGGAGCCAGCAGGGGAAGCTCCGGCCGAGCGTCCAGGCTGTGGGAGCCGAGTGATAAGCGGCTGGTTGGCACGCTCTGGTCTCAGGTTTTCCTGAGAATTTGCCTGAGCTGTCAAAACATTTCAGGGCTGTGCAGAGACTGTGTGCCTCAACAGCAAAATCCCATAATGGCTCTATGAAACAAGCCATATTTTTTTCTTTAAACCCTAAAACTCATACCCATAAAACAATTTCCCAGCCAAAGCCATTTGACCAGCACGAGTGAACAGTACGGCTGTGAATCTCTCTGACTGTGGCACTTTTCATCTGAGATGTACAATGTGCTTTCGATTTCATATTTCATTGGTGTTCTGGCCTCCCCACAGGGTAGACAAAGGGAACCCGTCACTGAATGTGTTTGAGAGAGGTGGAGTTCAGCCACAGCCAGTGATCCTGAGCATGTTGCACATGGAACCGGGAGCCTCGAGTCCCTACCTCAGGGTCTGGGCCTCATCCCCAGGCCTCCAGCCAGTGGCCCACCTCCAGGCCCTGCGTTGCTTCCATTTCACGACAAGGGTTTGGCCACCTGGAGCCAGGGTCCTGACATCTTTATAGGGCAGAACTGTTTTTGTTTCCTTAAAGCCTAGAGGTCAGTGAGCATGAGAGGTTGTAGAAAGGCGGAAGGGAATTCCTGGGCAGACTTGGGATAGAGGACCTCCCAAGGACCAGGGCAGATTGATCTGCCAGTCTGGAGACCCACCAGCTAGGGTAGCAGGAGCTGCCTTGGACTCCTGTCAGATGACATCTGGTCCAGTTGTCATTCCTCCCGCAGCAATTCTTCATGGGGAGATGGAGTAGAGAAGCTGCCACTGAGGTGGTTGGGCTGTGGAGAGAGGGGTTATTGATACGAGCAAGTGATGGCTTTTGCTGGTGTTCAGACTCTGCCGCCTCCTTCACTTCTTCCCAGATACTTGTATGTGAGTGCTGGCTGACCTAGGTGCTGGAGATTCGGGAACACAGGACAGACACAGCCCACTTTCACGTTTAGGGCATGGGGGAGATAATAAGTAATAAATAAATAAATGAGAAAATTTCAAGTAAGTTCCAAGAAGAAAATATGACAGAGTGAGGAGAGGGAGAGGGCCTGGGGGCTTCTTTGGATTGGGAGGTCAGCAAGGCTTTTGCAAGGAGAAGTCCCCTAAACTTAGTCCCAAAGACAAGATGGGGCCTGCTGTACTGAAACCTGTCAGGAGAGTATTCCAGAACAGCAGCAGAGTCCCTGAGGTGGGAACAGACATGCAATTTACCAACCCCCAGCAGCTGAATATTCTCCCAGAACCCACATGGCATGTGTGAGACTAGGAAGCAGACGTGTGGAGTTTGCATTCTGGCTGCCTGTTTACTTACTAGCTGTGGGGCTCTGAGCAAGTCACTCAACCACTGAGACCCTCAGCGTCCTTGTCTATGAAGCGGAAGGATGACTCTCTCTGGGGCTCACTGTGTGTATTAGAAATGATGTAATGTAAAGGCTTTAGCACTGCTTCTGGCACCCAAGATTAGTAACTGCTTTATGGCTAAAGGCTCCTTCTAGCCCTCCCCAGCTCTGCCTGGTTTCTCATTCTTCATTGCCTGGGAGCAAAAGCCCAGCCTTCTGTGCCAGCCCCTAACCCCACAGTCAGGCCTGGTGGTCTTGGTCCAGCCACCTAACATAGGCTCCCTAGAACTCAGGATTACACCACTGCTTCTGGAACTCTGACAAGGCAGTGGCACTCTCGCTTCCTGCCTGGGTCATGAAGATCTCCTCTCAGAACTACCTGTCCCTCTTGCAGCAGACCCCTCCTGCAGGCCAAGACCTCAGCCAAACCAGAGCCAGCCCAGAAGGAAAGGCAACTTTCTGTGAAGACAGATCCCAGTGCCATCCCAACTCTTCTTGCTATGTGATCTTGTCGGATTTATTTAACCTACTGAGTTCAATTGGCCTCATCTATTTTCAGAGGTAGGAAATTACTATTTTACCACAACCAGTACCAGTTTTACATGGGAAAGGAATGATCTTAGTTTAGTAAAATGCACAGTAGGACACGGGAGTGGGAGGGGCCCTTAGGGGAGGCTGGAGTACGAAGAGGAATAGAGAACCATCCTAGTCTGCATGAGAAAGGACCAGAATTGGTGGTGGTGGGCTCAGGGAGGGGATTAGAGAAGAGAGGGCTGCAGCAACCGGAAACTGAGGCAGAAGGGGAGGAAATGCCCAGGGGCTACCTAAGAACTTAAGTCCACTTTTAGTTTTCCCTGCATCTTGGAGTGAGATGTACGTTTCCAGCTATTGCCCCTAAATCTTCAGAAAAATCTCTACTTCCATGCCTGCTTGTACTCAGAGGCTTGGGGATCAGGGAAAGGTTCCGGGTCTGTGCTGGGAGGAAGAGACACAAAATGAAGGAGAAGGATAATTCAGCAGAATTCTGAAATCAGAGCCAGAAGAGGATAGAAGAAGCGCCAATCTCTGAGAATTCCCAGAAGTCTTGGTGAGGGCACTGGACATGCCAGGGGCGGGGGGTGGAGGTGGAGGGAGTTCAAGACAGTCAGGTCTGGATCTTAAGGGACAGATGACCCCAGCTGACACCAGGATTGGACCACTTTGTAAGGCACTGGGGGAGAGTCAGCAGCTTCTGTGGGCATTTGTATTCAAATAGCTCTCTTACAAGACATTGACAGACATTGCCTTAGCTGGGAGACTTAGCCCCCTGGTGGTCTCTCTCACCTGGCTTGGGTCAGAGGATAGGGTTTAGGTGATTTGCTTCCTCAAAGCATGGGGATGCCTAGCTGGTTCCTTAATGCCTTCTGATGCCTCAGTGTCCCCCGTGCAGCCCCTAGGTGTTGGACCAAGCTTCAAAAAGTCCACATGCACTGAAGCAATTTCTGCTTTGAATGCTGGTCTGCTCTCCAGACCCACTGGTTATTTGAGTGAGCCAGCG